CAGTCAGATTTGTTGCACATCAGCAGCACCTCCAGCTCTTTGACGCTGTGGACCAGGAACTTGTGGGAGCCACTAGGTAACATAAGTTTTGTCTTCTTGTTGCTCCCATAACCAATGTTGGGCAAGATCTGGTCCTTAAGTCTTCTCCGCACCTTGTTGTCAATGCCTCTGAGTTTGCGCCAATTACGCGTACTTTTGACATAACGATCTGATTGGTGCTGAATGAACTTCTTGGTCCTCTTTTTGATGATCTTGGGCTTCACCAGGGGTCTGAGGGCAGCCATGATGCCAGTAGAAATGGCCACCTCCTGCACAGGCAGCGCAGAAGAAGCTGGTCATTAGTTTTTGTGTAATATTTCTATTATAAACAATGCTTTGATGGATATCTAAATGGTGTCTGCTTGCATAGATCCTAAGTTATTCCTTTATGTAGAATTCTCAAAAATAAATCTGAGGTCAAAGTTATCATTTATAAGAACATTGGTTCATATTGCCACATTTCTCCACACACAAAAAATATTAATTTGTAGATCTTCTGTTTATTTATTCAATTGTATTTATTGATGACACCAAAAGATAATAAATAAAAATTGTTCCCAAACATCCTATGGGTTTTTCATGCAACATCATGTATTGGAAATTAAAGAGGCTTTGAGTCAGGCCAGGTGAATTTAAAACTGCATATAGCCATTTCTACAGATCACTTATCTCTTTGTACTTTATTCTGATCATCAGCAAAATCAGATAGTTATTATATTTTAACATATATTAGCATATTATAATGTATAGTGTTGCAGAGATTAAATGAATTCAAATTTATGTAAGTATACTTTAGATTGCCTGACACATGTTGTTATTGTTGTTGTTAAGTGCCTTTGAGTTGGTTCTGACTCATAGGGACCCTGTGTTTCCAAGGAGTAACTTTGTGGTTCAAACTGACCTTGCAGTCCAGTGTATAACCCCCAGTGCCACACCAGGACTCCCAATAAATGTTAGTTTTGCTTTTCCTTTTCTATTTCCATCCAACATTCCTCAGATTCATAATGTCTGTGAATATCCTACAGGGTAGGATATAGATGAATTATAAATATTCTAAGTGTGCCTGTACATGTTTTCATCTTATGCCTTCTCGGGAACACTTTAAGAGGAAGTTCGGGTCTCAGAAAAGAAAGTACTAGATGTTATTATTAATAAAAGGCTTCAGTAGGATATATGTGGTGTGTATCCATCAGGAAGTCTTTATTAGGTTCAATCTTAGAAATTTTAACTAGAATTTTTATTTATAATTTGAAGCTCAAAGACACCTACCAAGTCAAGCACCTTTGACTTAATTTGGCTTGATACTTGGTTTGGTTCATTATCTCAGAGAACAAGACACACAGAGGTAGGACATCTCTATGATCAATTCAATCAGTATCTCAATGATATCAAGGAACAAAATTCTTAATCAGTTTAACTATAACATGGGATTCTTCATGCAACAGGAGGCTAGAGCAACTCCATGCACTACATTGAGACACAGTAGTGTTAAGACTCAGAAAAGAACATTCTGTTGTATGTCCTTTAAGCCCTGTAAAAGCCTTTGCCTCACTTCTCATATTCCAGAGCTTGGTTTATATGTTTTCTCCTAATCCAAGCAATAAAAAATGGTAAGAGGAGAAGGAAGACCTTGAGTGAGCTTATATTCACCCAGATTAATACCTGAATATGAGAACTTCCGAAGCACATGGAGGAAGGATGAACAAATAAATCTGAGTTCACTCTTCTAGCAAAGAAACGAGGAAGAATTCTATTTCTGTAAACAGCTGTTACAGAAATAGAATTGGAGTCCTCCAGTTCATCCAGCCTTTTAAAAGACCTATTCTGTGACCCAACATGTTAAAGACAGCAATAAAGAAAACAAGACTATCATTAGTGATAAAAAACACCTTCCATCTATACACTTTGTTTTGTTTCAGAGCGGCAACTATATCGTTACAGGGTAGGATGGCTTAAGAACTGGCATCCCCATCTGAGAAATGCAGGAAACATGACATAGGATGATGAAGTGATTTCCTTAAATTCAAACCCAGGCCTCATAGTTGCAAATCTCATGATGTTTTAGGACCCCCAGCTTCCTTTCTAAAAACCAAATAGTCAGTGGAAAGCTGTAAATGTGCCTGCTAGGCTGTGAAATCAGAAGACAAAGACTGTGTTTTTTTTAGGAATTGGATATAAGGAAAAGCCACTCCTACACCCATCAAGACATAGTTTTGCTCACCCCCCTTTTATGTAAATGAAAAAAATGTTTTGCCTCCTGAGTTTTTAATTTGGGAAATATGGATTTCTGCTTATGTCTTTGGTATCTAGACATATTCTAGAACTTTCTTTAAGGAGAAAGATCTTGAGAAGTGCCCTAGTAGAAGAAAGGTGATAGAGGAGGGTGAGTAGAGGGCTTGAGCCCTCTGGGAGTTGGTTTCGTCATGAGGTCAGTGAGAAAGAGGAAGATCCTGGACGAGATTTACTGACACAATGGCTGCAATAATGGGCTCCAACATAGTAGTTCTGAGGATGGTGTAGAACCAGGCAGTGTTTTGTTTGTTGGGCATAGACTCACTTTGAGTTGGGGTTAACTTGATGGCACCTAACAACAGATAGGTTAAGTAATTGAAATCTATACACATCCCCACAGAGAGTGCATGGATGAAGTGATATTATGGGTAAAACTTTCTTCCTCCAGTCTTCTGAGAGAGCACTCCTCAGCAGCTACATCAGATTCAGTCTTTTTTCATTGTTCAGGTAGAGCAAATGTGTATGGCTCCCCCTAGTGACTATCCTTGTAGAATACAAGTATACCTAAGTCCTTCAATAAAGGTGGTATTGAAAAGTCGAGCTGTAAGGGAAGTCTTTAGGGAATTCGTGTGTCTTTCTGGACATATTGTTACTTACCTCCTTTTATGTAAATAATCATATGGTTTCTTAAATTTAAGAAAGTGGATTTCTGCATATGTTTATATGTGAAAACCTGAATCCACCAGTTCGTTAAGCAACAAAACAAAAAGTTTCTTGCTTATTCAAAGAGAGTAATAAGGCATGTTCTAATATATAGTATTTGTCTATTATGTGGTTGGAAGGAGCTCTGGTAGTGTAGTGGTTACGACTCGGGCTGTGAACCGCAAGGTCAGCAGTTCGAAACTACCAGCTGCTCCGCGGGAGAAAGAGGAGGCTTTCTACTCCCGTAAAGATTTACACCCTCGGAAACCCTGTACAGGGTCGCTATGAGTCGGTTCCGACTCCACGGCACATAACAACAACAACAAATTATGTGGTTGGAGTCCTGATGTGCCTCTGCTGGATAATGTGCTGGACTGGCTTGCAAGGTTGGTTTGAACCACAAGGTTGGCATTTCAAACTCACAAGCTGCTCCTCAGAAACCCTTGTTATTGTTATTAGGTGCCATTGAGTCAGTACCAACTCATAACGACCCGATGCACAACAGAATGAAACACCACCCGGTCCTGGGCCAACCTCACTATTGTTGCCATGCTTGAGTCCATTGATGCTGCCACTTTGCCAATCCATCTCGCTGAGGAGTCTTCCTCTTTTTCTCTGATCCTCCACCTTACCAAACATGATATCCTTCTCCAGCAACTGATCCCTCCTGACAATATGTCTGAAGTATGAGAAAGGAAGTTTGGCCATCCTGGCCTCCAAGGAGCACTCTGGCTGCACTTCTTCCAACACAGATCTGTTGGTTCTTTTGTTTCAGAAACCCTATACAGGGTCAATTTGAGTCAGAATGAACTTGACAGCACTTAACAACAACAACAACTAGGTGGTTATATGACAAGTCCTGCTTTAGGACCTGGAGTTATTACCACAGTGAACAAAACAAAGAGATCTTTGTCATCCATCATTGAGATTGCTTTCTAAAGATCGCAAGAAGGGGTAGAATTCAACAATAAATGAAGTAATCTTAGACTGTGACAGATTCCAAGACAGGAATAAATAACTAATCTGCCACATAGAGTAATCCTATCAAGGTAGATCCTATTAAGTGACAGCTGCAATCTGCTACTTTCTTTAGAAAAAGTCTGGGAGGGAGTGTGTTAAGCAACCGAAAAGTCTCTAAAGTTGTATAAAGGTTGGCTAATTTCTTGAACATAAAATAGGCCAGATTAGAAGAAGCATAGGGAAAGAAGGAGAGATTAGCATGGGAGTGAGATGAGGTAAGGGGTGAAGTGTTAGGGGGAGGAGAGTTTGAGTCTATTCTAAATGCAATGAGGCAAAAAGAGTTTCACGTAGAGGAGAGTCATCACGTGACTACATGGAGACGCCAGACTAGTTGAGACACAGGGACAGCCTTCCTGCTATGAGATCGTTCCTGGAATAAACATCAAATCCATGTAAGACTTGCCATTTCTGACACCATGCTTGTCATCTGCAGTACTGTCTGAAACACACTTCAGTTCTTCATCTCTGCAACGAACGGACAGTATCTGATTCGGGGTCTGCTCTCTATTCTGTTTCACATCTTATTAGTGGAAGAAGAAAACCTTGATCACAGCAGAATCTTATTATTTAGAACAGCAGCATTGCTAGCAAGAGATGATTGTGGTTACATTTCTGTGTTTCCTTCCACAGCAGAAGATCGATGTCTGGAGGTGACCTGTTAATGAGAGGGAGAGAGAAAAAAAAAAATAGCTATGAAATCACAGATATTATTGCCAGTTTTAAAAATAGTTCATTTTTGTTTAGGAAGAAAAACTTAACAAATATCTAGTTTTCTAGGGTAGGAAGAAGAGTCGGAGGAGGCAAGTGGAAAGGGTAGTGGTGATAATGGTACAAATAAGCAAAGTAATAATGATGATGTCAACAATAATTTATGATAACAGTGTATTTCATAGAGAATGTGACGTTCAGGTAAGGACTCTGAAATAGCAAAGAAAGTAGAAAATGGCCACTGTGCCTCGAATGTTCTGTGTGCGTCACCCCTGACCCCTATTTTGTTTTCTTTGCAGATTCCCAGTACCTAAGTTGCCGAATGCAAAACTGCACAGAGGCCAACAGAAATAAACCTTTCCCTGGCTACATTGACCCGGACTCTTTGATTGTCCAGGATGATTACGTGTTTGTTCAGGTGTGAAAGACCCTCTTATGTTGATTGTCTTCAGACATCTCTTTCCCTGTGTCTGTCCCAATTTCAGCCCCTTCTGCCCATTGACAGCTGTGGAAAAAGAAATGAATAAAGTGGAAGAAGGAGGAAAGCGGGTGGGTGGTTGGGGTTGGGCATTAACTATTATCTTTTCAACACAAAGAACATAAGCTTCTGTACCAATGGAATATGAATTTCGACTTCCTTTGGGCAATGTCTGGAGGACCTTATCACCAGGGGCTCACAGAGGCATTGTGGGGAGTACCAGGGTTGTCACCTGAATGACTCACAGCTCCATTCATTGCCTTCATGTGCATTCTGAAGAAGCTGCACTGAACACTTCTGTCAATCTCTTCCTAGCAGGAGGACAGTCAGCCAATCAGGCCCCCTCCCCTACTCTAAGGCGGGAAGGGGAAGCTGTGTGGAGGCTGGAGGTGGTGAGAGGGAGCAGAGACCTGGAGAGTAATCAGCTGTCATTGTCATGCACTGACTGTGGTGAGGATAAAGAGAATTTAAAGGAGATGTATTCAGCCAGGCTTTTCACCTCCTGAGAGAGTGGGAAGCAGTTTGAGAAGTTTAGGTCTCATGCAGTGGTTAGGGGAGAGAGGAAGCAAGTCAGCATTTAAGTAGAATTTTTAGACTTGTTTGGACACTAAAAAAAAAATTCAGTTATTGCTTTCCATTTTAAATGGCAAAAGTACAATTGCTAAATAGATGATCTGTGTAACTTCACTACCATTGAGACTGTGCATTTACTTCAACAAGAAACCGTAACTATATGCTTTGAGAAGTGGAGTCCTGGTGGAGTGCTATATGTATTGGACCACAGGGTGGGTCCGTTTGAACTGCAAGGTTGGTGGTTCAAACCCACCAGCCAGGGTCCCTATGAGTCAGAACTAACAACAATAACAATTCTTTGAGAACGCAAATTTTCAAAATGCTCAACACAGCCTATGTATTTTTCCATGATTCAAAACATTATGTTGTTGTTAAGTGTCGTGGAGTTGGTTCCGACTCATAATGACCCTGTATAGGATTTCTGCAGGGTGGCTGGTGGATTTGAACCACTGACTTTGTGACTTCAAACATAAGTTGTGGTCCAGTGCTTATTCTACAGTGCAACACCAGGACTCCACACATTATACACAAACAAAATACATACACATACATGCAAACATAGAGATACACACATGTACACATATGTATGAAGGGTTATGCTTACACACATGTATGTGTGTATATATATATACACACACATGCATGGGCACACGTATACACACACACACTGTTTTATTTTCCTCCAAGGAAAAGATGATGCTGATAACCTCAGAATCAAATTACTGAGTAATATTGAAATGGTTAGACCCCTTTTCACCCTCATTCCACCCACTGGTATTCACTGGGCTGTATGTTATGGACAAAATTGGGGTAGTTGCTCACAATTTTCTTCTGGGACTGGAGTTCTAGACTGACTGTGGACCACAAGCTTGGCATCATGGCTTTGTGTGTAAGATGCACAGCTCTCCTGTCAGTGGGACATGCCCACAGCCATCACCATGACAACATCCAGCTGGCATTCATGCTCACACATGTGAAGCTCTAACTGCCACTGTGCAGCCTGATCCATGTCCTCCTGATATAGCAAGGGGTACCTGTTTGTATGGATGTAGACTCAGAGTTGGGTAACTGGGATTTTGATGGATATGAAGCTAATATGCCCAGAGATGTGTATCCTTTGAAAATATAAATAACTGAAAATGTTTCCTGGCTTCTGAGCTATGTGGCCAACTGAAGGATTGGATTTTAGTCACTGGGTTCTGATTCAGTGTGGGCCTCTGACCTGTTCGCATATACCGTAGAATTGTTTTTAAACTAAATGCCAATTTCTTATGGTTATGCACAATAGTCATTCCCACTGTGTGTTGGCAGTTATCCACTTCCATTCTGGTGGTCGTTCCATCTCCAGCTGTACCCATTATAAGTGGCTTTTCTTTTTGTTTGTGGTCCAGCTGACATCAGGAGGACGGCCACATTACTACGTGTCCTACCGAAGGAATGCCTTTGCCCAAATGAAGCTGCCCAAGTATGCTTTGCCCAAGGTATGGCCTGAATTACAGTCTCCATTTCAGCAAATCTTCAGATTCACAGTTCCTGCCTCGGCTCCATTTCCAGAGGACCCTTTCTGTCTCTGATTGTCATTCGTTTCTTTTTTATCTCCCATCATTCTTTGTCAAGTTCACTCTGCCCTACTTTCTGTTTTGATCAGTCTCATGTTGTGTACTTTGCCCTTGTCTTCTTCTTCTTCTTCTTTTTTTTTTTTTTCTTTTTCTCTTCATCCTTCTCTCTCTGTTTTAATCTCCTTTCTTTCTCTCTGGAATTCTTACTATAGGAACTTTAGAATAAAGTGGTAATTGAGTTGCTTTTGATTTTTATCAAGGAAGTTTTCACACAGTATGTCTGGATTTTTGCCAGTGCAGGTTTTGTGTTTTTAATCAGTGCATCCTGTTTTATTGCTATCAGTTGTTTTGTTGGAAGGTGATACAGCATGATGGCATCTGACCTTTGCTTTTTCTCTTAATGGTATTTTTAAGCCCTTTTTTTCTTTTGCAGAGTTTTGAGGTCCAGCTAATTTAATTTCATAGGTTTCCTCAAAGACATACCCCTTTGAAACTATTGGTGGAGGAAGGTTAGAGACCTACTGCTGACTCATCTTTCTAGAACACTGAAGAACTGGGTTAACATGGAGCGCCACCTAGTGGAGGTCAAACTGACTTGGGAGCTCAAATTGTACATTTGTGGTTCTGTTGTCATTGTTACGCATTTTAAGTGGCCGGAGCATATTCACTATTGAGTCTTGGTTTGAGAGCAGAAGTGTGTATACCTGCAAGAAGAGGATTGTACAGATTTAAATCAGATGATAGCTCTGCTTTAAGCCCTTTAAGTTGAACACAAAGAAAATGAAGAACTTCTTGATTGAGTTTCTTGCTCCTGTTTCTTGTTCTGGTATTTTTTTGTCAATGACTTTGCAATATGTTTTCTTGGACCAACACTAGCTGGCTGCACTGGTCACCATGTGACAAGTCCAACACAGGATAGATCACTTGGGTTTCTCCAGGTAGAATTGTACTCTTGGATTATCACTCAACTCCTAGCCCCAGAATTGTTGTTGTTAATGCCATTGAGTCATTTGTGACCCTGTATAGGGTTTACAAGGAGCAGCTGATGAGCTTGCACTGCCGACTTTGTAGTTCAAGCCAACTTTGCAGTCGAGTGTATTAACCCCATTGCCACACCAGGACTTCAGCATAGGTGGTTTTAAACCTCAACTCATTTGAGGAAATAACAGGCATTATTAACTCCATAGAATCGTATCCATGTTAGCAGCTATTGTTATTTCTGATTGATAAGGGTTTAATGATAGAGGGAATTCTCCAGAGCTGTATGTCTGTGTTTTTATACATTTATGTGCTTCTTTCATGGCATCCTAGTGCAGTGCTGTAGAATAAGCACTGGACTGCTAACCACACAGTTGCCTATTCAACCCACCAATCACTTCTTGGAAATTTTATACAGGGTCACTATGAGTCAGAGCTGAGTCAGAGCTGATTCAGTGTCATACTATAATAACAACAACATGTGTTTCTTGCTCTTGGGATTTGCTCCCATAAGAGAAGAACTTAGAAAATTTAAGTTGCGTCTCAGATAAACAGTGGATGATGTCAGTATGTAACAGGAAAACAGTGTCAAAGTTACTTTAGATCCTCTCTTAAGAATGCCCATGAGGGAGAAGAACAAAGCCTCAGTATGTCCTACAGAGCTGTTGTTTCTTGTTTTGCAGAATAAATTGTTATTCCTTTGATTGACCAACAATGAAATACTTGACTTGCAAGATGTGTAACTTTAAAAACAAGTCTTACATTTAATGTACTAAGATCTTGTTCAAAAGACATGTGGGAATTGAGACCAAATCAGGATAGAGCAGATGAGAGTCACCCATCTCATGTTCCCTCTTGGGGATGTGCTGTTTGAATGGAATCAATCTTAGCCAAAATGACATGCTGTTTGCAGAAAAATTGGGACTGAAAATGAAGCCTTCATCACTCCCGAGCTAGTGTCCTTTAACACTTTTGTGAAATTAAGTTAACAACTTGTACACTTACATTATTAAAACATAACCCCCCCCCCAAAAAAAAAGAATAGCTACATTGTCAGGGATATCAGGAGAAAAAGCCCCATTAGTTTAAGGAGCCCCAGAAATGATAGTTACAAATCAAAGGAAATGTGTGAACCCTAACTGTAGTGTTAGGACGCAGATACTTTCATTACTTGATCACAGCCATCCAATGGATCAGAGCTGATAGTTGCCCCCAGTGGCAACTTGTCAGTCTAGAAGGAAAAGTTTTACTTTGAACCAAAATCAGCTTCCTGTCCACTCCTTCTGTTCCATTACCCAGCTTCATTTGAGGTCTGAGGATAGAATACGGTGATTAATTTAGCTTGTTTCTCAAAAGGAGCCAGCATAGCTAAGGGATTCCTGGTGTGGTGCTGTAGGATAAGCACAAGACTGCGAACCACAACATTGATAGTTTAAACCCAGCAGCTGCTTTCAGAAACCCTACCCTGTACAGGGTTGCTGTGAGTCGGAATCGACTTGATGGTATTTAACAACCCACAACCAGTGAACGTGGTCTATGGTTCAAGCAGGTGTGTATTATTGAAGACAGTGAGCTGCTGCTTCATTATAATCCCATTGCACCTTCAAAAGCAGCCTCAGGTTGGCTCGAGTGATCTGCAGCAAAGATGCATCTATTTCATGGCCGTCTATCAAAGCCAGGGTTGCTGAGACTGGAAATGAACAAAGCGTCATGCCAACTAAAGGAGACCAGACAAACAGCACTTCCATGGTCAGATTTCATTTAATCATCCATGGCCGCTATATCAACTCTTGAGAGATCATGCTTTTCAAAAAAAAAAAAAGAGAAATTTAATCATAACATTAAAGAATGAGCAGAATGAGTAGTAACAGGGAGGTTTTAAATTTGTCATTGCCGTTAGTGTATGTGGCCTTCCAGATGGGGAGGCACGGTGACAGTCCTTCGTTTAACTTACTTGGAGCTCATTCAGAGCTACTCAAGTGAGATAAATGAGGCAATACATATGAAAGTGCTTTGAGCAGTTTGGAGGACAGATACTCTATAAAAGCAAGGTAATATTATTATTAGTATGGATCTACTTGTCTCTGCGGTAGAAGATCGATGTGGGCTGAGATGCGGGTGGTACGAAGGCCACTGATATGGAGCAGGAGATCAGCAGTCCACACCTGGATCTGTTACGGACTTGCTTTGAAACCTTGGGCTTGTTTATCAATTTCTCTTTTCCCTTTTTTAAAATGAGGAGCTAAGATTCACAACGTGATTTCCTCAAATGTGTTTCTCATAAAATATCACTAGAGATGTTTCATGAAAACTGAGATCAAATAAGTTTTACAAAAGAAAGAGATAACATGTTATAGTTCTTGTCTAGAGAGTGACTCTGTTGACTGGTCAGTATCTGCTATCAGGGGGTCCCGAGAGTAAGGACACTGTTTAATTCAGCATGGATTGGAACATTTTACCAAATAATTATCCTGGTAGTTATTAAAATTCAACAAAGTTAATGCTAAGAACAGATTTTGGAAACACTTCAATAGAAAACCCACAAACAAGTGCCTTCTTAGTCTAAAATCTTGTTGACTCCATGAAAATATTTAATACAAAGTGCTTCCTTTGAGAGAAAGAACAAATTTTCCAGATAAAGGAAGAGAAAAGTTGCAAGCAAGAAATAAAGATGGTATTTTAATATGCCAAGCCTTTCATTTATGACATGATTTCAAACCAACATCATTTTAAAGACTGTCCTGTCAATATAATTATATGTAGAGAAAGGGAGACCTAATCTTCACCTTTACCTAGAATAGACCATTGTAATCTGGTGTGGCACTATAGGATAAACAATCAACCTCAAGGTCGGTTTGATCTTCAAGGTTGGCAGTTCAAACACACCAGCCACTCATCTGAAACCCTATACAGGGTCACTATGAGTTAGAACCGCCTCAATGGCACTTAACCACAACGTAACAATAGTTGCGTGAATAGTTCTCTAAGTGATTTAGAGCAAGACACTCAATATATCTCTGAATTCAGTTCTGTATCTACAAAATAAAGATGTGTGAAACAGGATGGTAGACATTTAGTGAAATGTCTATTGAGGAGAACTCAGAGGTTCTAACAGTGCCCACCCAAATGCACTTCAAAAACACAGAGGTGATAATTGGCTATGGGGAGGGGGGAGTGTGGTTAGTGCTGAAATATTTTAACTTAAACTCAGAAAGTATGCTGAATCCTGCAGACAAGAAGCAAGTTTGAATTACGACCAGTTGTTTGGCAAAACTACATGCCACAGTTGGTCTGTGTTCTATAGGAAATGGTGGGTCTTGAAGGTTGTGTCCCTTAATCATTCAATGGCTTTTGGTCTAATGTCCACAGCAAATCTTCTCCATTAAAAAGAAGCAAAACAGTGCAATACACTACCCTTTGTTCCTGGGCATAGTAGTGAGGACATGAACAGATAAAATATGCAGAAAGGTCAAATCAATGTGCTTTAATGGGACTAAGGGTCTCACTTAACTGCAAATAGCTAGCATGCATAGAGTACATGATCCTGATGAGCTAAGTGCCTAAAGCCAGTTGCTCCTTGGAAACCCAATACAGGACCACTATGGGCCGGAACTGTATAGGGTTTCCAAGCAGAGGCTAGTGAACTTGAACCACTAACTTTGTGGTTCAAACTGACTTTGAAGTCCAGGGCTTTAACCCACAGCACCATACCACGACTCCAAACTGGTTTTCTTGTTCTCATTAAGTACTGTCAAGTCAGTTCTGGCCAATAGCAGCCCTGTATAGGGGTTCCAAGGGTTTCTAAGTGCTTTAGGCACTTAGCTCATCATGTATTCTATGCAACTTGACACCACATATTAACTGATGTAATCCTCACAATCATGGTATGCATATTGTTTTATCCCTTTTACAGGTAGAAATTCTGAAGCACAGTATTAAGTTCACATAACTAAGTTACAGAGTCAGGATTTGAACTGAGGCATCATTCCAAAGTCCATTTATTAACTATTTTAGCAGACGTTCTCTCTAACTGAAAAGGCTGGAAGCAGGGTTGCCTTCCAGCATGTCTACATCCAAGGACTCAAAGAATGTTGGAGGATTTTGTCTACCTCTTTCCATTTTTTTTTGGTCCCCTTCTTTATTTAGAATTGACTTCATTCTCTAGCTCCAAGGTATGTCTCTAGCAGATCTAGACTTTTTTACTTATACAAAGTATAGTTTCAAACTCAGTGATAAGAGATTTGGTGTTTGTTTTTTCTTTAATAATTCAACAAAAGTTCTAGAATTTCATGTGATAGCATGGCCATCTCTGATTCAGTCGTCGTCATCTGGATGTCAATATTAATACTGAATATTCTGAATGCTAAACCTGAGGTCCAAGGCCACATCTATTGCTTTGGGTGGAAGAAAATTGAGAAGAGGAAGGAAATTGATCTAAAAGTACTTATGATGTTGTTTTTCAAAGAATACCAAACTCTACTTACCAGAAGAAAAGTAAAGAGACATTGAGCTGACATAAATAGTAGCCAACTTGTATAGAAAACCTTTGTTTGCATTATTGACCCCATTGAATTCATGGACTAGACTCATTGTTTGGTTTCCTGTCACTAGGGAAGACTCAGGACTGGCCAGTGTTTCATTCTCTAGTATACAAGGTCACTATGGGTTGAAACTGACTTGATGGCACGTTACAGCAAGAAAGACGTCACTGGATTCTTTCTGTAAAACATTATCAAGTTCTAGAGTATGCCACGGAGGGTATAGGAGTATGAAGCTCTTTAGATAAATAGTTCTGTTTGCAGGGTTCATATTAGCTCACAAGGCTAAAGGAGTCTTGTTTTGTTCCTTTATGTCTAGAGCGTAGTTGGACTGAGTTGCTGAGTGACTGATTGAGCATATTTTACTTAAAAGTTAGGTAAAAATTTCCAGCACTAAACATGGTAATTAAGGAAGACTGACAGATATCCTGGAGCTTTGCAAGAATAGAATAGGGTCCATTTTGGGAAATTTGAGTACTGAGCTCTACCAAAGCCAAGGAAATTAACATATTCTTTGACCTATGTGCTTATGTACAATTCTGGTTTTTTTGGATTTTTGTTTTGCTATATTTGATATTTGTTTTGTAGAAGTTACACCATGTCTACTGCTATGGGCTAGAGTAAAAGCTGCCAAGAGAATGTGAACAGGTGTCTGCTGAAGGAGAAAACAGCATTGGCCTGTGTTAGCCTCTTCATCGCATCTCTGCTTTCTAGAATACTGAAGGAGAGGGTTCCCACCGCTCCTTGAGGGACAGCTGTTTACTGCCTCATATTACCTTTACCTTGTTTCTAACTCCAGGACAACCATGGTCTGAAAACACCATCAATTATGAAGACCATTTTCTTCCCTTTTTCCCTTGAGGTTTTTGTGCCAAGCCTTTTAGAGTACAGGTTGGGATAAGAAGTCCTTGCACCCTCATTAATGTAGAGCTTGGTACATTGGGATTCTCAGGTGAATATTTTCCTTCAGGGGCCAGAGCAGTGTTTCTTGAATTTAGTGTGCATGTTAATCATGAAGGGAGCTTATTAAAATTCAGATTTTGAGTCAGTAGGTGGGGCCTGAGGTTCTGCATGTCTAACAAGCTTTCTGGTGATGGCCATACTGCTGGCCTATGGACCACACTGAGAAATTCAAGGCTTGTCTGTTTTCTCTTTCTCCTCTTCCAGCTGTTATTCCTGTTTGCCTTCTGATCAAGTACCAAGTTTGTGCTTGGCAGTATGTCAGAGGATGAAATCTCCAAAGTCATACATATTTGAGAAAGTATTCTTTAAATTGTCTAATGAGGTAATTAAATTATAACGGAGCTACCAAGAGTCCCTCTGTCCCATTTCCTCATTACCATGCTGCCTGACCTCATAAGTGACAAAGTCAATGTATGATTAACAAGTTAGCAATTCCTATTTGGCACGTATGTAGAAGGAAGATCTCTGTCTTCTGTTACAGTGCCTAATCTGCGTAGATCTCCTTGGATTCCATATTCTAGGAGTACCTGCTGGGAAACTTACAAAATTCTTCTTCCTTCTCCATTTCTGTGTCTTCAGGACATGCATGTCATCAGTACAGATGAGAATCAAGTGTTTGCCGCTGTCCAAGAATGGAACCAGAATGACACGTACAACCTCTACATCTCAGACACCCGTGGCGTCTACTTCACCCTGGCTTTGGAAAATGTCCAGAGCAGCAGAGGCCCTGAAGGCAATGTAATGATTGACCTTTATGAGGTATGTCACTGAGGGATTTATGCTCCTGAGCTACAGTAACACCTAGACTGGCTTCTGAAGGCCTCTCCATGACTGATTTTCTAATGATTCCTCATGTAGCCTCATTTCACTTAAGAGACAGAAGAATTTACTGAACATCTTTACCAGGTAATTTGTAATCTGCAAAGTGTCTCTGGAGGGATTATTTTTATTTTTTGGCTGTGAAGCCATGGAGGATATAGAGAGTATCTGGGGAGTTAGTCAAACAATTAAAGGTTTTGAACAAGAGTGAGCTGAGTGAGACATTTAACAATTGTCTTGAAATATCAGCAGCCTGTTGAACAAGGAGAATGGAGGGGACATCCCTGCATTGCTTTAGAAGACATGCCCATTGGCTTTGAAGACTTTTTCAACCTGATAACTTTCTCTGGCTCACTGCCAGTGAGTGAGATAAGGTTAATATGTCTTTCTTTCCCAAATCAGGAAAATACCAGAGCTTATTAGACCACAATTCAAAATAAAGTCACGTATGTTGGATTAGACAATTTTATCACAAACACAAATGTTTAATTGCTGTTTCTGGGACAATTATGTAGAAAGCAAGCTGCTAATTTGGTTGGATTTTAGCCATTTGTCAGCCTTATCCTGAGCTAGGAAGAATGGATTATGGATTATAATGAGCCATTATAAACCATATTTAGAATATGGAGATGGGCAATTATATACTGATATAAATTATATGAAAAAAAAATCTAAAACTGATTCAAAGATGCACAATGACACGATGACTTGGTTGAGGAGATGTTCAAGGAGTCAAAAGATTGTATAATGAGAAGCAAAGAAGTTATGTATATCACAGAAGGAAATCAATTTCACGTAAGAATTTTTAACCTGTCACTGTAAATTTTTCTAATGCTGTCTGTCTACCTTTTTTCTCCTTTTGGAGTTCGTGAGAGTTTTTTTCTAGTTCCTAAATGTCTCTGTACGTATAGTAATATGCCAATAAGTTTGCCCAATTTGTTGTTGTTATTAAGTGCCATCGAGTAGGTTCCAACTCCTAGCTACCCTGCATAGGGTTCTCAAGGAGCAGATGGTGGGTTTGAACTCAAACTTGTGTTTGGTTCACAGTCCAGTGTTGATCCTACAAAACCACACCAAGAGTCCATGCCCAGTTTGGGCCCCAAATATTTATAATGGGATTCATAGCAAACTATCATAGAAGAGAGTTGTGTGTATATACTTAGAAAACTGCACTGCAAACTTCTCCACATTTACACAAATTTTTTTTTTTCACTTCCTCTCCTGCCCATGTTTCAGATAAATATAGCATCTATAAGATGTCTCAGTCTCAAACTAAACATGTATTCTGGAAATATTTACATATGCTGGTGATTTAGTTTAAACTTTTTGTTGGATAAAAAATAGTGAGTTAGAGTATAGATTTTAGAGTCAGCCCTCTTGGCTTATATTCTAGCTCTGCCACATAGATGTACGTATTCATGAAGCAAATCCACTAACTGCAGAGCCTCAGCTTCCTTACTTTAAAAATAGGGATAAACATGTAGGCTACTTGGTAGGATTTTTTTGAGAATTAATTGAGCTAATCCTTGTCAAGTGTTTAGTCCAGGGACTGAAATATAGCAACACTCAACAAATTTTATATGGCATCATTATTAATATTATGTTTCACTGTGTTTCAATCCATACAGTTTTCTATCCTTATGGTCTTAAGACTCACCCACATTGTTGGATGTCCAATACAGTTTCACTATTTTGGATTTCTGACTTTTCCCATGTTGCAATTCACTGGCCATAAGACATTCTTTAACACCAATTAGTTGTCCTCTTATAAACAAATGTAAATTTCTACATTTCCTCTCACATTTGTAAATGTCTTATAAACATTTAGGCTTTACGTCTGTGTTGTTGAAATGCCATGGATTTCTGTGCCTTGATCCAGGGTTTACAATGGAAAGATCTTGCTCTCAGTGTCTGTTTGGTGTGAAGTCTAAGCAACAATTCCAGCTTTAATCACCCAGCTTTCATTCCTGGGGGGGTTGGCTTCTGCTCTTGTTCTCCCCAAATATTTTCTTATCTTCAGGTATATTTTAAACACACACACACACACACACACACACACACACACACACACACTCCACTGATTGTCTTCTTTCCTCTTTTCAAATCAATATGAAATACTTGGTCTGGCTAGATTTTGGTCTCTGTCAGACAAGGACCATTTTAATTGGTCCCTTGATGATGGAAAAGATGACAGATTTGAACAGGCACAGCTTTGCATTGTCCTGTTGTTTGAAATTGTTTTCATGAATTGTTTCCTAAACTAAAACAGGTGACAGGTATGGAATTAGAAGAGGAAACAGGGTGACCTCTGGACACGCCAAACCATTTTTTTTTTTTTTAAATCCTTGTGCTTCTCCTTTGTGTCTCTTTTGCTGTTGACTATCTGTGCGGAAACTGCTGGCTCATATTCTCATCATTTTGGGCGGTGGTGTGACTGCATTATGTAAAGGTGCTCTGCATCCTGAGGCCTCAGAAGAGGAGTCTTTGTTTTATTAGCCTGACAGTTTACTGCAACTTGAATTGAAATTGATATGACCAGACCGGTAATGCCATATCTGCTGATTACCTAGACAGAAAGAATATTGGCTGACACAGAACCTGGTACAAATGTTCCCTTAAATCTGATTGTTCTGGCTGGCAGGGAGCTGAGAGCCATCCAGCATGTATTTCCCAGTAGAATTGCAATGAATGATGAGTGCTCAGACACAAATGAAAAGTAAGAAAATCCGTAAATGAATTAATAAGGAGCAGAGATGAGGCGCATCTGAGTTAGGGGTGACTGCAATACAGTATGTGGGCTGAATAGCTGCTCAGATTTGGGGGTGATTGAGGAGGCTGGCATTCTCTGTTGGTGTGCCAAATTTCTGCTGTTCTTCTTTGTGTGTGCTTTAAACTGTCTGAGCAGAGGAGAGCTGTACATATTGGTGTGTGTATGGATGGACCTGTGTAACAAGGAACTGAATCATTGATGAGTTTGTGTGGGAAATGCAGAAGGAAGGGCAGTTCTCATTCACATCGATGATTTTGTTGGCACACATGCACGCACACACAGATTCACATTGGAAATGTGTTCTCTTAATGTTGGAACCAATTTGTATATGTAAGAGGATAGGGAAGTGTTAAGGGTAAAGTCCTGGGGATGCCTTACGTAGTTTGTTGTTGTTGTTGTTGTTGTTCACTCAGAGTAAGTGGTTCACTGAACACAAAGCCCAATTTAAAAAGTCAAGAGAAGAGAGTCAAGTTTTCTACAGAAGAAAGACTAGAAAAGTATTTTTGTTGTTAAAAGTTCCTAATAATAATAGTTGACATTATGGTTAAGTACTGTATGACAATTTTGCTCATTCAATCCTTATATGAATAGTGTAGCAGAGGAACTATAATTAGTCCCATTCCAAATCTAAGTAAATGACGGCAGAAAGTGTGTAGCCAGGTTTCCAAGGTTACAAAGCTGGGAAGTGGCTGAGTTAGAATCTGGACCCTTAGTGTACAAGCTCTTAACTACAGAGTCTACTGTCTCCCTCAAACAACTATATTGGCACTTGTGTTTGACTATAGCTAAGTAATGGTGCCAAAATTGAAGGACTTAGATATGGAGGAGAAATATTGTTAGACTTGTCCTAACAGTGGAAGAAACTAGAATGGAAGAAGAAAATGGTGTGTGATAAATCCACTGGAGGAGGATGCAGCTATTGATTGCTCTGGACTTTCCCACCACTTTCTGAATCTTGTCCTGAGCCCACAGTTAGACATGACGTCAAGCAGTATATATGTGTTGCTTCCAATATTGTCTAGTGGGTGTGTTTGAGTAAGGGAAGTCCTTTACTTCCCTTATCCTATCTAACTTTAAGATCCTACAACTAACATCATGCTTAGTAAAGTGGAGGGTTCGTGACAATGTGGAAGACCCCCACCCCACCCCCCCACCGTGAGGTGGCTTGAGACAGTGGCAATAGCATTGAGTTCAGATGTAGCAACAATTGTGAGGTTGGCACAGGTCCGGGCAGTGTTTCATTCTGTTGTGCATAAGGTTGCTGTGAGTCAGAACTGACTCTGAGACACCTAAGAACAACAAGGCTTGTCATTTCCAAATAGCACTAATATTCTAGTGCCATTATGAGGAATGGGTAAGAGAGGACTCCTGCCAGCCTGGTGGTGGCCAGAGCAAAAGCAATGTGACAAGTGTGTCTGAGTGTGTAGGATGGATGATGAGAGGAGCTATGGTAACATTGGACAGTATCCTTCTCCTCTAGGCAGAGAATACTAATTAATAATGATGAAGAGCACTTTGGCATAATAGACAATGCCAGGTACTCCATCGGAATGGAAAGGGTTATGATGGGAATGAAGCCACCTGGCTGGCAAACTCAAGATGCACAATACATGTGCTTAAAGGAGTGAGGTGTGAAGGAGATCATGAAAATCAGAGCCAGTGACCAGTGCACGCTTCCCTCCACACATGATTTTTTCTGCGTACCACCCTCTCTTTAAAAGAGAAAGCTAAACAGAAGTGACAATGTAGCTTACAACTGGATGTCTTTGGGCGATAAGATTGCTCCTAACAGCCTGGAGTAGGGGGTGGTTGTTAAGTGCCGTCGAGTTGGTTCTGACTCATATTGATCCTAAACAGGACTTCCAAGGAACAGCTGGTGGGTTTGACTTGCTGATTTTGTGGTTCACAGTTCAGTGCTGATTATTCAGAGTCACAGATTTCGACTCATAACAACCTTATGAACAACTAAACAAAATGCTGTCCGGTCTTGTGCCTTCCTCACAATCCTTGTTAAACTTGAGTCCACTACTGCTGCCACTGTGTCCATCCATCTCACTGGGCCGCTTCCTCTTTTGGTGTTAACTCTCCATGTTACCTAGTATCATGTCCTTCTCCAGGAACTGTTCCCTCCTAATAATATGTCACGAAATTTCGCCATCGTTGCTTCTAA